CCCCCCCGCCCCCCCCCCCCAAAAAAAAAAACCTACCCATAGGTTCCTTTTTGGGATTACCTTATAGGATTCTAAATATGAACCATAAAACGGAACTACTCTTAGGGGCCTATATGGGTTTCAAGCCCTATAGACCCCGCTCGCTGCCTGCATTTGGAGCTTCACTCCGCTCTCGCTGGCGACGTTGGTCAGCGCGACCAGGGCCGCCTCCAGGGCCTCCGACAAGGAGCTACCTATAGTCTCCATTGTAGTTCCTTTTTGGGGTTACCTTTTTTGGGATCCTTAATATAGATTTGGTTAAACCAAAAAAAGGAACTACAATGGAGACTATAGGTAGAAGGGCCCCCCTTCTTTCTAGCTCCTTGCGAGAGTTCCCCTACACAACCCTCTTATGAGGGACTCTGTTTGGGGCTTGGGGGCTCCAGCCCTGAGATCTTTGAGGCCTCGATTTTTGCAGACCTCCCCCCCCCCCACCCTATATAATCTAGCCCTGCGTAGGCTCCGGGCACTCCGCAGCGAGGTCGTCGCGCTGGAGTCCTGTCCCCGCCGATGGCAAGAGTTTCAACATGTTGTTCCGAATATCTTCGGAACTGAATAAAAGGGACGGATAGAATGCGATGGTCAGCCTGCGAAAGAAATCCGAAGATGTCCAGGAGGTTGGCCACCGGATCACGCAGCTCCTGTGCCAGGCAAAACAAAGATCCGGCAACACTTCATCCGGCTTGAGAGTCTTGGTCGACACTTCCTCGGCAGCGTCGGCGAAGGGCTTTGCTTCGGAACCTTAGGCGGTCTTGGTGTGGCTGGAATCTGGAAGGATGCAGTTGCAAAGACGGTGACCTGCGTCTTCGGAGGGTTTGCATGCGGTGGACAGGAGGTCCAAGCAGGAACAAGCCACCTGACAAGCTCCAAATCCTACATGTAGTCCGGCCATGCTTGCATTGAAAGCGCGGCGGAGCCACGTCGTGCCACCACCACGTGTGCTCCTGCAGCACCTGAAGGCAAAGAGTGAGTCGAAGGCAGCAGCTAACCCAGGACAGACCAGCCTCCTTGGACGCAGCCGCCTTCTCACTGGTCTTCCGACGCTTCCGCGCCTTCTGCCCACTGCTTGCAAAGCTCACAGACGAAGAGACCTGCAAGCACCGAGGTGGGCGCCTTCTGCCCAGTCTGAAGCCTGAGAGGCTCAGGCAAGGCGATAAAAGAGGGTTCTTTCTAGCCCGGCTTTCAGAAGCCGAGCTGCGCGAACCGGCGGCAGGCGACCAGCGCTGTCGACAAGTCCTCTCTCTAGTCAGTACTATAGCCCACACTGAAGAGCCCCTGTGTCCACAGTACAGTCTTCCTCTGAACACTACTATATGGACTCAAGGATGATCAGGCTCCTTCGTCCCCAGTGGCAGCAGCTCTTCTGCTGTTCCGGGGGCTGCGTCTGCGACGCAGCTCATGGTGGCAGTGACGGCCTCGCGCCCGTCCAACAACAGAAGTTGGGCCTAACTCCCAAAGACTCTCGGCCCTCTGCCATCACGCGACACGCTGCTACGGCATCAGATGCTGGATCGATGCCCTCGAGGTCTTTCGCTTTTCTAAGCCTGCGGAGACACCAAGAACTTGAAAACGTCAAGCAAGGAAGCAGCTGTAGAGCCTCTGCTGATCGAGCAGCTTCGGCTGCTTGCCCCGCGCCCATTCCAGTACCTTCAAAGACCGAGACCACGGGACAAGGGATCCTCTCAATGCCCCGACAGTGCCTTGACAAAGTGCTTCTTCATCTCCTGTGGCAGACATGCGCACAAAACCCGAACAGACGCCACAGTGTTGCTCATTACGTCCTCGCCTCCAGCTCCAGCCGCAGGACGAACTGTGCAAAGGCGGCCGCCGCCTGGGGGCTTCGAGCAAAGTTCAGAACTGAAAGTCACGGCGCGGAGCCGCAGACAAGACTGCTCTTGCGGAGTGAGAGACTGCTCTCTACCGAGCGGAGCTCAGAGCGCTCCGTTTTCGCGGTTTCGCTCCCAGACCACACCGTGGAAAAGAGTACTTTTTGTGCTGTGAACGACTCAGCTATGTCAGCTACGTCAACCACCCAAATCATGGAAACCATATGAGCCTCATCCCTGGTCACCATCCTCCTTTATTATTTCGTCATAGTCATCGTAGCTTCCATTCTGGCAATCGGAACCTCAAGACCATCATCATCGTCGAGCCCATCACCTTCGGACACACCAGCACCGTCACTACAACCACCATCGCCGTCACCACCGCAATTCAGCGTCGCCAATGCGGTCGTCATCATGGCCGATATAGCACCAGCAGCAGCAAACGCTCGATTGAAAAAGCGCCAGGCACTCGTGTCACGATTCCCAAGCCCAACAGATCCAGATGCAGGCGTTACCAGCAGGCAGACATCTCTGCGACACTCTGCGATCTTCATTGCGCAGCAGTCCGAACACCCGCTTCCGAAGGCGACTCCGGGAGTGAATCTGAGGACGCGCGCCAGTTGGTGCAGCTGCCAGATGGAGGGCTGGCTGCCGCACTGCTCCCAACTCAGCTCCTGGCGGTAGAGATCTGAATATACAACAACTCCGCAGCCCGCAGCAAAGCCGGGCCTCCACCTCCACCGCTGGGCAAGAAGGCAGGCGCGAGACCCTGCGGCCAAAAAGAGACTCTCATCAGACGACGAGGCCGGGCTCTGCGCGCCTGGCAGCGAGCACTGCGGCTTCGGTCTCCGCGTTGAGGAAAGCAGCGATAGCCCCGCTGGAGACTGCCAGGAGCCTCCCCGGGTCCCGCCGTCGAATCCCTGAGCCCCCTGAGCCTCTGAAGAAAAAGGCCCCTCTCTCCCCATGGCACCGGAGAAGGGAGGCCATGATGGCGTCGCTGATGCCGGCCACAAACTCTGGCGACGCCTCCCGGCGGGGCTGTTTCCACAGTTCCACAACCCGAACTTCGCGCTTGCGCCCTGCCTTGGAAAGGATCCAGATGTGGAAACTGGCGAGCCTGGGCCAGAGGAAGCGATAAAGCGTGGAGGCACATGCTTTCACTACCACAGGCCGAAGATCATCCTGGCAGCAAGGCACATCGATCGACACGGCTTCTGCTGACCACAGATGCCCGGCACACTCCTACTTCTCTACCAGCCCCACAGCCGTGATTCCTTTGCATGAGGCCCAAGGGGTCGACCTCTGCATGTGGAGGAGCTTCTCGTCCAGCGGCACAGAATCTGCAGAGTCGAAGGGGTCCACCGTGGCTGTTTGCACCTGCAAGTTCCAGACACACTCACAAACCTGATGGATGTACGTATGTGTGTATGTATATATATATATACATATATATATATATCTCTCTCTCTCTCTCTCTCTTTTCTTTCTGCAGGGCATAGGGGTCGGTTGGCCCGACCCTCAGGCCATAGGCCCGCCCTACCACCCATTGTGTACTCTCTCTCTCTCTCTCTCTCTCTCTCTCTCTCTCGCTCTCTCTACCTACGTACGTACGTACGTACGTACGTACGTACGTACGTACGTACGTACGTACGTATGTATGT